AGTGCTTTCTTGATTCTTGATTCCCAATTTGCAATTTCTAGGGTTAACTATGGTTCAATTTGATTGATCAGTGGTTGCAATTAGTGGGTGGGTTTCTGATTTCTTTGAAGATAGTGCTTTCTTGATTCTTGACTCCCAATTTGCAATTTTTAGGGGGTTCAATTTGATTGATCAGTGCTTGCAATTAGTGGGTGGGTTTTTGGTTTCTTTGAAGCTTTTTGAAATACCCACATCAACAGAGATTTATGGGTTTTTGGTTTCTTTGAAGATAGTGCTTTCTTGATTCTTGGCTCCCAATTTGCAATTTCTAGGGTTTAACCATGGTTCAATTTGATTGATCAGTGGTTGCAATTAGTGGGTGGATTTCTTTGAAGCTTTTTGAAATACCCACATCAAAAGAGATTTGGGGGTTTTGGGTTTCTTTGAAGATGGTGCTTTCTTGATTCTTGACTCCCAATTTGCAATTTCTAGGGTTTAACTATGGTTCACTTTGATTGATCAGTGTTTACAATTAGTGGGTGGGTTTTTGATTTCTTTTTGAAATACCCATATCAAAAGAGATTTGTGGGTTCTTGATTTCTTTGAAGATAGTGCTTTCTTGATTCTTGACTCCCAGTTTGCAATTTCTAGGGTTTAACTATGGTCCAATTTGATTGATTAGTGGTTGCAATTAGTGGGTGGGTTTTTGATTTCTTTGAAGCTATTTGAAATACCCACATCAAAAAAGATTTGTGGGTTTTTGGTTTCTTTGAATATGGTGCTTTCTTGATTCTTGATTCCCAATTTGCAATTTCTAGGGTTTATCTATGGTTCAATTTGATTGATCAGTGGTTGCAATTAGTGGGTGGGGTTTTGATTTCTTTTGAAGCTAATGCTTTCTTGATTCTTGCCCTCAATTTGCAATTTCTAGGGTTCACTTTGATTGATTGGTGCTTGCAATTATTCTTCTGTTTGATTGGTAAGTTTTCCATTCTATGTTCATCTGTGTTTATTTTAAATGATTGGTTATTATTGATTGCAAACAATCTTCAGATTGCACAATTTGGAGTTGATTGATGGGTGTAGATCAAACCAAATCCCCAATTTGTACAGATTCTTGGGTTGTTTAATTGAGTTCATAAAGAGTGACCAAATTCAACAATTCGGGGTTTATTTGGATACGTATAATTTGTGTTATCGATGTCGGGAGTTCAAGATTCGTTAGAGATAAAGTTTCGGTTGATTGATGGATCGGATATTGGCCCGAAAAGCTTTCCGGCTGCTGCAAGTGTTGCAACATTGAAAGAAAGCATTCTGTCTCAATGGCCTAAAGGTTGGTAGAGTTTGTTTTTATCGTTAAATCTTGATGTTTAAATACATACGGTCGTGTGTAATGTATATATCTGTTTCAAGATTCATGTGGATATTGAGATGATATCGAGTGGTAAAGATTTCAGTTCTATGTTTGGTTGTTAGCATCGCTAGAATGCATTGAACGTATGACTTCAAGAAATCTTTGCATCTCCCCCGGCAAGAACGGTGGCTTAGATTATTTGCAAACGGAAATCTTGGTGATAGGGTACATGGGTTGTACGATAGATGGAGGGTCGTGTGTTTTTGCTTATACGCACCGACTAATCTCCAGGAGACCACGAATGACTTGGTGTCATCGCAGGCGAACCTCCATGGTCAACAAGGGCTTTCGCAGCGCTTGAATTCGAACACGGGGAAGATGGGATTTCCACTACATCCCCTTGAGCCCTCTACCCTTTGGGGTCGGTATCAAGTCTACATACATCCCACCCCTTGCAGACCCTACTTTCGACTAAGGGGTTGTTTGTTTACCTCTTAATAGTTCCATTAAGAGGCAATCTCTAAATCGTTAAGAGGTGAATCATGTTTGGTAAAACAAAGTCTGCCTCTTAATGGTTCTAAAACCTTCTGAATGATTTTGTATTCTTGGCATCCCTTAACCATTAAGAGCCCTAATTTCATTGTAAACAATTACCAAACAATTTTATTTCATTTTGCACTATATCATGAGAGCCTCTTATTCATTCTGCACCAAACCATTCGGCAACGGCCAAACAACCCCTAAGATATACTGAGTTCATTTTATCGGGTGCCCATTTTAAATATGTGATTTGGGACGGGTTATTTAGGCATGTTAGCTCATCCATCGAACATTTTCGTGACTGCAGAGTTCTTATTTCTAGTTATGAGAATTCGATTGTTTGCCCAAACGGAAAAAAATGTAATCTTTGTGTGTTTTGACAGAAAAGGAGAACGCTCCAAAGACGGTAAAAGATGTAAAGATAATTAGTGCCGGAAAGATATTGGAGAACAATAGAACGGTAGGTGAATGCCGGAGTCCGTTGTGTGACGTTCCCGGTGGAGTTACAACTATGCACGTTGTCGTTAGCCAACCACCGCAAGAAAAAGGTACGGTTAATCTTCTTTGTAAGCGTTTTACTAAAAAGTTCTAAATGGTGCATTCGTTTAGGTCGTTTAACGTTCAACGTCTTCGTGCATCGTATATCGTTTTCGAAGAAACAAAAATGTGATCGTGGGTCACGGTTTTTTGAGATGTGGGACCCACAAAACTAATTTCCATAGTAAATTGTGAAAAACATGAAAACGACATTCAAGATGTAGGCCAAAATGTATAAAAACCCAACGTTTTACCAAAAATAGGAACTTAAACGAACTTTATTGATCGTTAATAGATTTTTTGATAGGTTTGGACCCTTGAAAAGTCGAAGTGTATCTCGTTTATCGTAATGTGACGAAAATCTCTCTTCTTTTTGGTAATTTTCAACAGAAAAGAAAGTGTCGAATGATCCGAAGCAAAACAAGTGCGTGTGTGTGATATTATGATGAGACGCAACTCCGAGCGCAACTTTCGTGTCTTCAAATTGTAGGTTCGTCGGTCGGTCCTTCATTCAAATAACTTTTCGCAATCGGGGTCTTTAACGGAAACAGTCTCTCTACCCATTGGTGTAGAAAAAAAGGTCCCACTTCAATGGTGGACCTTCGTAGAGGAATACGGTGGCACGAGCCACTGTTTCATACGGACCACGTGGGATTTACTGGGTTTGTTTGGTTTACAGTATTTATGTTTTTTTTTTTGGGGCAGATAAAAGGATGATGCTGCTGTCAACTGAATGGTTTGGGATTGAAGTTTACAAAGAAAACAGAAAAAGAAAGAAGAAAAAATTGTGAGATATATAAATACAATTTGTATCTATAAAAATTTGTTTTTCGGGTTCGTGTTTTGCGTATATTGTGAATTCTTATGTGAAAACGCTTTCGGTCATCACGTTTGATGCTTCTTCGGTTGAAAAACCGTGATTAGATTTGAATGAAAACGAATTAGGGATTGTTTGTTTTACCTCTTAATAGTTCCATTAAGAGACAATCTCTAAATCGTCAAGAGTTGAATCATGTTTGGCAAAAAAAAGTTTGCCTCCTAATGGTTCTAAAACCCTCTGAATGATTTTGTATCTTGGGTCTCCCTAAACCATTCAACGCTCTAATTTTATTCTGAACAATTACCAAACAACTGTATTTCATTTTGCATTATATCATAAGAGTATCTTAATCATTCTGAACACTTAATCATTATGTACCAAACCATTCATTAATTGTCAAACAAAATATAGTTTTTTTTTTGTTTTTTTGTAATTTATTGTTATTCTTGTACCTTTGACTAAATTCTTATTTTTAAGTATAAGGGACTAAAACTGTAAAACATTGTAAACCATAAGGACCAAACAACTATAGATTTGTAAATCATAAGGATGGAAATAAAAATGAATTATAAATTATAGGGATGAAAACCATAATTTCCCTGGACGAAAATAACGGTTTTTAATAAACCACATGGATAGAATGTAATATACAGTCCCATCCCCGAATATTAAATATTATATATGTTTATTATTAGATATATTATTGTTGGTCACGGTTCCAACATCTTTCTAAATCGAAACGTGACGCTGGCTGCTACGCTATAAGGGAAATAAGGTTGCGCCTTCACCATGGCAATTGCTTTTGGTGTAGTGGGTAAGCGTTTGATCCTAACAATTGGTATCAGAGCAGGTCATGGTTTCAAATCCCATGGTGTGCATAATATGCAAGKAGTGCATAATTATGAGAAATGCATGCTGCGCGGCCATTGACTTCTAACGAAGCTTTTATTAGTACCGACAGATGCTGGGGGGGGATTGTTGGTCACGGTTCTAGCATCTTCCTAAATCGAAATGTGGCGCTGGTTGCTACGCTATAAGGGAAATAAGGTTGCGCCTTCACCAAGGCAATTGCTTTTGGTGTAATGGGTAAGCGCTTGATCCTAACAATTATTTACAAAGAATTAGATTTAGATGACGTTTGTTTTTGAAGATGTGCTAAAGTCTGAAGTTTGGTTTCACTTCTGATCTATAAAGAGGTGGTGCGGAAGCCTGAAATCAATAAGATTATTTGGTTTTGTAAACTGATAAATGTATGAAGTCTGAAATATGAATCAATAAGACTGTTTGTTTTTATAGACATAAAGAAAACTGTCCAATAACAGAAAAAATAAAAGTTTCCAAGAATTCCATATCATTATAAAGAACATTACAAGTCATCTCAAATAGAAGCCATCCAAAAAAAATAACCTGATAAACGTTTAATGTTATGAGTCAACGATATAATTTATTTCACCGGGTAAAATTATAGTACATTAAAGGGGTACCTTATGCAACAATTTACCCGGTAAGCACTTACCCGGGTAAGAGCCGTTACCTTTACTTACCGAGCAAGACTCTCCATCTTTATCATTGCTCTTGCTGGGTAAAATTTTGACTCTTGTCATCTTCATCCGGTAAGGAAAATTATGCTGTAATCACTTACTAGGTAAGTGTTTAATAAACGGCTCCTAAACCACATAATTTCCAAAATCCATAACAAAAGCTCCAATCAGTAGCACAAAAGTCGAAAATCATAAACCAAAAATCCTTGAAATTAGAAAACAGAAATTTCAGACAAACAAAAGAAGAAGAATTAGAAACAGAAACAATATCAGGGTGTTTTTTTTTATTAACCTGGATATCCAACCTGCTACGCGAGTCGACTAATCCTAGGATGATCACCTGCTTTGCAGATTGCCTGGAGTCACCGTATTTGAACTTCCGTGGCCACAAGGGGATTTTTATTTCTCATTGGATTTGAACCTGAGACCTTCAGGTACTTTTGACCTTTGGAGCCAAGCTCAAACCAATCAGACACCATCCTTGTTTTACTATCATCACATACATAAAGAGAGAGGAGATCGATACCTTAGATGAATCCATACAGAAATAAAAAACAAAAGAAATAGGCCTAAAATCTGGTTGGTTTACTTCAAAGAAACAATAGAAAAAAAAAAAGAGATCGAAACCCAGATCTGGAGAGCTTAAGATGAGAGGAGGGATCTGGTCTCCGATCGGCTTGAGAGGTCGAGAGCTGAGAGACCGAGAGATCAAGAGTGATTAAGAGGTGTTGAGGGGTTTTATCAACCACTTAAAACTTCAGATGACGTTCACAGCTTTTAAGCTCTTATTTAAAAAAACACTCCGAAAACCCAAACGTCTGATCGAATCGGACTTTCAGAGGGTATGAAAAAACAAACAACCCTTAATATCTTTTAGATTTGGAAATTATATTTTGACATTTATATGTTGTCTTATCTTTTTTAGATAAAAAATGTTGAAAAGCGTAAATGTTTGATCAAACAATTGCGTATGATGTCGTGATTTTGTTCACATGTGAAAATTTTGAATATATAATGAGATTTAAACATAAATCATTATCGTACGAGTGTGCGTTTACACATTTGATTTAAAATATCTTATATCAACGGTGAAAAAAAACTTGGCTCTCCGTTGGGATTGCTTATAAAAACAACTTATTAACTTATTACGGTATGACACCGGTAACAAACATTTTTGAGTGTTTGGATAAACAACTTATATCGGTGTCAAACCCAGGGGCGGAACACAAACTTTCAAACCGTAGGGGCCGAACCTAATATATTATATATTTTAAAGGTACCAAAAATACACTGCCCATATGCGTCCCAGTGAGACTGAAGGGAGCTTCAGAGAAGCTTTTTCGATGTCGAGTGTAAAGAGGAAAGCTCGTTCCAGTTCCAAATACAGGTCAGCGTCTAGAAAGAATCTTTTGGAAGAAATGCCAATTCAGAAATCTGGCCAACCAAGTTTAGCAGATGTTACTAACACCAAACCTGATTTGATGAGCATAAAGATGATTCCAGAAGCTTTTGATCTATCTGGAGCCTCATCTCAGTCTACAAAGCTAATTGATGAGGGCTGGATACCATCTTTAAGTGGTGCAAAGAAGATGAAAAATTTATTATCCAAAAGGAGCCGGGAAACTACAATGGTGAGTAGTGTAGGAAACAGGAAGCAACTGCGCAAGAAAAACTCGGCAAGTTCCTCCCTCCAAAACGAGACTGCTAGATT